TTTTAGGTCTGGAAACAATAATTGTCAATACTGTATATTTGTATAGATATAAAACGTCAAAGCGAGAGCATATTCATTCTTCATTATCTGAGAGCAACCCATGCTTATCCTAATATTCAATTAACAGGATCGGATGGTCAGACTCGCTGATTTGGTTGACACATGTCATCGTATCCCAACTGGCGTAGATCGATGCTCACGGTGTTGATCACTGGATTGTCTGGTCCAGACTCGATTATTTACAGACCGCCGCAAAATAGCTGGAATATTGCTGAGTGCGGCGTTAAAACACCATGCAGCCGAACAAAACATCACGATGGCAGATAAAACAGTGTGCGTCACATCAACACATATAAACAGAGAGTGAGTGAATTTAGATTTACGCCGCTTTTAGCAATACTCCAGCAATGTCACGGCAGGTGACACCAGAAATGGGCTTCACACATAGCACATGTGGGGAATCGAACCCGGGTCCTCGTCGTGACGATCGAGGCTACCTCACCGCCCCGTGATTATGAAGAGGGTCTGTCCTGTACTTACCTTGTTCTGTTGATGGAATTCACAAGCCTCTCCTTTCAACTCTCCGACTTACAGACGTCAATGTAAGTCAATGTTTTCAGCGCACTGGGGATCTTGCAGGGTTTCAGTAGTACTGGAATAATGTCTCTTCTCCTCCACCGACATTGACACCATTATGTCAGTCTCCACCGCCATTTCTGGTGTCCCCGCCGTGATGTTGCTGGAATATTGCTAAAGCGGCGCAAAACCAAACTCAGTCAGTCAGTCAGTCTCCCGCCGACACCAATCACTATTCATAAAGTCTGGGGACATGATGAGCACATATTTCGATGAGTTTTCAATGAATTCATTGATATTTTCCATGACAAGTTCGCTAGGGGAAAGTAACTTCTATGGTCCACACATTTCAGTCCGATGTCAGGAGATTCCAGATACGTCAGCAGGTCATCAACAAACTTCTCATCAGCGCTGTTGAAGCTGATGAAGGCGTCATACATCTTTCCATCTGATGAGGATGTGGGTTGGGGTCCTGATCTGCGTTAGTACTCCAGTCTGCAGACGCCATATTGGACAGTCACACTTGAAGATTACACGAAAGAGCTCACCCTGACATAAGACACGAATGGAGTTATTTGACAGGTACATTTTAACATATGGTGTATTTCGGATTACACTTTCTTGGTAAAGTACAGATTTTAGTACTTTTGTAATCGCCAGCACACAGAGTCAGCCGCCTAACCTGCTCAGCCACCACGGCTTCCACTTTGGGTGCTGGCGATTACGTGCCTCAGGGTGTGGGTTCGAATCCCGGATGGTACTCAAGGCCAACAAAAGAACTAGAATCTGTACTTTACTAAGAAAGTGTATTCATCAAATATAACATATGTTACGATGTTTCCACTTAAATTTGACCACTTTCTAAATGGCTAAATACCTACTTGGAAAAATACATTATTCAGAGGTAAGTTTGGTTTTGTTGTTGTTAAACGCTTGCAAATGGGTAGGTTAGAATTGGTCTTCACCAAACCACGTTTGTCGTAAGAGGCGACTAACGGGATCGGGTGGTCAGGCCTACTGAGCTGGTTGGCGCATATCATCGTATCCCAACTGCGTAGATCGAAGCTCATACTGTTGATCACTGGATTGTCTGGTCCAGACTCGATTAGTTCCAGACCGCCGCCATATAGCTGGAATATATAGCCCCTTTCCGTAACCTCCAAGAAGGCTTGTCCCGGAATAACACGAGTTGGTCACGAATGGGAGCAATTTATCACATTCCATAAATGGCAAGTGTTCTCTGTTTAGAAGCTGTTCGCCTCGAAGTTTCAACTATTGTTTTCAGGCAAGTCGCAAGGGATAATAAGTCCTTTATTAGTATCAATAGGAAACTAAAGTGAGTGCATATGCCCCCAAAATATAAGACAGAGGCCAAAATATTGTGGGAAATGTGTGGCCTTACGCCTTAAACATTCACACAAATTTTATGCAGCACACTGGTGTTTGTGTGTGCATGCGTGCGTGTGTGCGTGCGTGAGTGCGTGCGCGCGCGCGCGGTAGTATGTCTCACAGTCCCTGAACGCATTACTTTCCCTACTGCCAAGTCCTCCCGCAAAGCTTAAGCCCTAAATGAAGCAAGTCTAGATTTCCTCACTGGGGCTCCTTTTCATTTTAAATGAGTATATTTGTTACTGTCAAAATTATATATAGTCAGAGATCAAACGTTAGTTTAGAGTGGTGGTGGTGGTTGTCAAATGCAGTTAATCTCGTCCGAACGTGGGCGTTTTGGTATTTTTGTCCGTGTCCGTTTTAATGCCGGTTTTATATTGCTGCCACCCATACCGCAGGTACGTGGGATAGCCTTGTGGTCAAAGTGTTAACACAGCCCACCGAATACACAGGTTCGATTCCCCACATGGGTACAACGTGAATCCCATTTCAGGTGCCCCTGTATTGATGGTATACTAAAGCGGCTTACAAGACCCGGGTTCGATTCCCACATGGGTACAACGTGTGAATCCCATTTCAGGTGCCCCTATTGATGGAATATTACTAAAGCGGCTCACAAGACCCGGGTTCGATTCCCACATAGATACCGATGTGAAGACCATTTCTGGTGTCCCCCGCCGTTATATTGCTGGAATATTGCTAAAACCTATACTCACTCACTCACCAAAACCAGCGTACAACCTTATTTCTTCACAGTTAAACACGCACCCATACAAAGTAACACGCACCCATTCAAAGTATACTACCCATCCAGGGCCGTAGGTAACTTTTCTTAATAGGGAGGGCATTATCCACATTGAGAGAGTGTTAGATCAATACTTTGATGTACAGAAAATAATCTGTAAACAGGTTCTAGTGGGGGCAACTGACCCCTGCCCCTCTGGGCTGCCTACGGCCCTGCCATCAAAAGTTTAGACTCACTAGTGTAAATGTAGCCACTTACTTCAGTCAACTGTTCTAAACTAGATTTTGCAAAATATTCCATGCTGTTTAAAGGTACTGTTTACACGTGAACTGATGTATTGTAAAACAAATTCGTAACGTTGAAAAAGATTATTGTCATGAGTTCAATAGATGATGAAACTCAGTGAAAATTGGTGAATTCTTAACAAAACTTTACCCCAGCTGTTCACATGCACGATATTTGCCAGTGTATGAAATAAGCCCCAAACCCAGTCCGACATCTAGGCTGGTACCTTCAAAAACTTACCAGCCCAGAAGAGATTTAACCGGTTCTTCTTAAATACTAAATAGGCAGTGCCAGTGGACATGTTATCTGGATATTTTATTCCACCCATCAATCGGGCTGGCTAACTGTAAAATTAGACCGTCCGGCAGAAATCTAGCCCGTCTCGGGCGGTCGGACGGGCCTTATTTCATACACTGTCTTTGCACATGCTTTTCAGCAATTGGATGCATGATCCTCGTGCAATTCATCTGCATAAGGTTTGCAGTTGGTTCCCCAAGGTAGTGGAGAAATTCATCTTCGATGTAACCGTATATACATAACATATAGTGAGTGCTTTAAGTTAGTCTAAACTTTTTTGATGGGTAGTATATAATATATGGGCTCCATCTCGACCAGCCCTTTACCTAATGCCTGGCAGGCGAACAACTATCTTTTAACATCATTTGGTGAGACACGGTCAGAGGATCAAACCACAGACCTCCTGCTCTCCAGGCAGACACTCTTTCCACTGCACCAAGATATATGAAAATTTAGAACCACATATAATCTAAAACTAACTTTCTAGATTATTGCGGAGTCATTAGCGCAGTTAAAGCCTTCTTCAAAAGCAACCAAATCAATTAAGAAAACATCAACAAAAGTCAACCAAATACAACCATATATATTCAACCTTCTGACAAGACAAACAACTGGTTGTCAAGTTTATTACAGGGCTTTATTGGAAACAAAACAAATCGTAATCAACACTGTATGAAATGGAATGTTATATTAGGAAATGAAATTGGAATTGATAAAGATACTTGGCACAACTATAACCATATTCCCTTTCATTGTACAAAAGATACAGATCTCCAATGGTTTCAATACAAACTGCTTCATCATATTTTGCCATCGAACAGTAGACTTTTAGAGATGAAATACATTGACCATAACCAATGTAGCTATTGCTCAAATTCTATAGAAACAATACCCCACCTCTTTTATGATTGTAGCAAGGTTACCCATTTATGGCAGAAACTCCAAGATTGGCTAAATGATAAACTGGATTCAATTTATATTTCACTAGACAACAAATTCTTCTTGGATTCCGTCATAAACATAACGACCCAATTAATGTGATCCTCATCCTTTTCAAAAGTATTATTTTTAATCGTAAAACATCCGGAAATATGCCAACATTTCAGTTTCTGTTGAAAAGGCTTACTCAATATTACAATGTAACCAAATATTCAGCAATGTTATGCTCCAGAATAGACGCTTTTTACAAATTCTGGACGGTATGTCACAACCTGTTCAACGACTGATTTATTTTGTATTGCCATAGCTACATGCTCTGTATAACCTCTATACAGAGATATCCCTCTTCCCTGCATGTTGGAGCCCATGTGCAACTGTAAAATGGTATGAAAAAAAAGATAAAAAAAGAAAGATATATGCACATTGCACAACAATTGAATGCAAAATGGCCAATACGTCATATTTACAGATCTGTATTTTCTTTGTTTGACAACTGTAAATCTAAACAGAAAAAAAATTTGAAAACAAAGTGGTCAAATGTAATATATGTTATATCTGGGATTACACATTCTGAGTAAAATACAGATTCTGGTGCATTTGTTGGGTTGGATTCGAACCCACACCCTCAGTCAGTCTGCCATATAATCCGTACAACTAGCGCGGCTTCCACAAAAAAGTCGGAAGTTGGACAACTGGTAGTCTAGGAGGTGTGTGTGTGTGTGTGTGTGTGAGAGAGAGAGAGAGAGAGAGAGAGAGAGAGAGAGAGAGTCTCTCTCTCTCTCTCTCTGTCTGTGTGTGTGTGTGTGTGAAGGATTAGTGACAGCCATCAATGATTTAGTTCCTCGATGTCCTTCTTCAACATTGCTGTGGTTTTATCGGACATTTTTAACCCTACGCCAGTGATCAATGCCAACTTTACAGTTCCATTCTTAGGAGCAAACACAGCGAACTGGGGAGTGAACTCTTCCACGTCCCCGATCTGGTCCACACTGGTTATCTCCCCCTTCTTTGTGACGTCATAAACTGTCAGCCTCTGCCTGAAGGTGTCCAGAAGGAAGCCCAGTTCTATGGTCGGCCACTTCCCTCGCTAATTCTGTGTAAGGAGCCCATGATATACAAGAGATGTATATCTTGCTGTAGAAAGACAAACACCTTTATGCGTCACACATTGATATGCACGGATGCTGACGACACAGCTTGCAGCGGATCCTTCCTGGCTGTCATCAAACACGCCATCTCTAGACAGGGCCACCTCAAACACCGACTGCCGGCCGTCCAGTTCCTTCTCCAGGTCGACCTCCAGCTTGTTCTCCCAGTAGTACACGCCCCTGCTATCAGCGTCCGTGACCCCACAACACCCCTGTAGGTCTTGAGTCTCATGTCTGATTGATGATGAGGTTGGGATGGTGGCTGGTTAGACAGACCTCCATCAGACAGAAGACAGCAGTACTCACATACTGTCTTGCCATCATACAGGAAATAAGTACCTGAAGATATATCCAAATAACTAATAATTACCTAAATCATAGACTATTTCTTATTTTTCAATTTTCCAAATGTGACGGTGACGTAATGATGTCCGATAACCAGTATCGTGCATCGTATTTTAAAGGCCGGGGTTCAAACCTATGCACAGATGGGGTGTGGCCTCCTCGCCTTGTCAAAGCTGTCCTTAGATGCAAAGCAATGTAGTATTCAAGTACATTCCAGGAAATATTACAAAACTGACTAACCGGTTCAGGCTGATATTAAGTCATAGTATAAAGAAGTATGTTGTGAAGACTCACAGCAAAACGTATGGATGCAGAGAGTCTACAAAACATACATTTTGAAAATATATTTCTCATTTTTATATCTAGATTTGAATTTCCCACTGTGTCAGTCAGGTGGCCAGAGGAGGTGCGTTTCCATAGTAACAAGCCTTGGAGTGGGTAAATGTTTCATTCAGGGTTTCATATTTCAGGCAGGCTGGGAAAATGCCCCCCTCCCCCACTCCCTTGACGCCATGCTGTGCAGGGCTAGGGTTGTCCACTTATCTGATGCTGACATCTCTTTGCTGAAGATTTTATATTCAGAATATAAGTAAAATTTGATGTTTCATATATGCTAATCAAATTAATCTCTTTAGTCATCAAAACATGCAGTGAAAGGGTTGTTGGACATTTACTACAAGGCACATGTCTATTCTAGTAGTAAATTCCAAGGTTAACCTTTGACATCGCCAGGCTCTTGCCAGCCACCCATAGCCCAACGTTACAGCCTTGTCACTCACTGGCTGATAACATTTTCGCTGCTGAGGGGTAGCAAATGGGAGACTATTTGGAAACCCACGGGGGTTTTGGAGGTTTGCGCCCCGGCCTTTAAGGTGAACACTTGCCTTGCCTTTGCAAGTGTTTATGACAAAGATTCATGAACACTTGCTCCTGATATAGTTTTTTAAAATGGACGCAGCTTGTAAGCACAGATTTGTTACGATTCATTTTTGTTGCTAATATTTTGGAAAAGATTTAATATGGTCATGCTTTATGAAATACTATTTTAGGTATATTGCCTATACGTTGGTACATATTCATGACATAACACATGACCCTAACTTTCTGTTCAATAAATGATGAAAGCTGGATGGCTTGACAGATTTCGTCATGAAACCACAAAATCAAATTCACCTCTTTGTCGATATTTACAACTTACATCTGATAATGCTGCGGATGTTGATCCCTCTTTCCTGAGGGAGTATCGCCCACGAAGGGTGCATTTCTGCAACAATGGATTATTACACATCTTGTAAAAGTTACGTCAATTTTCTCGTTGGTTCGATTATATTTTCATAATTTCCATTCGTAGATTTATGCTACCAAAATGACACCATTAGTCTTGGGTACCATGGAAACAGGAATATGTGGAAAATGTGATGAATGGTGTGCCCACTCCTTATGAAAATGTGTAATTTCAGAGGATTAGGCCCACAACACATGGAGATGTGGGGTAGCCTAGTGGTTAAAGCGTTCGCTCGTCACGCAAAGACCCAGGTTCGATTCCCCACATGGGTGCAATGTGTGAAGCCTATTTCTGGTGTTCCCCACAGTGATATTGCTGCAATATTGCTAAAAGCGGCGTAAAACCATACTCACTCACCACAACACATTTACCAGGTCATCTTATTATACAGGTGATACCTCAAGAAAGTATTATCTGAAAAAATGCATCCGCAGTTAACGAGATTTTAAAATGATTAACAAACATAAAAATATTTCATTTAAAACATAAAAATGAAAGAATTTCGACCCCTGTTTGTTCTGACTATCGGCGCGCGCAGTCGTCGGCCGGAAGGAAGAAATTGAAATTCAGGAAATAGGACATGAGTGCTGTCATTTCAAATTTTCCGTGCTTTCTTTTCAATTGTAAATTGCTTGTAAATAGTGCCGATATCTTGCATTTTAAATCCAGAGATTCTACTTGCTGTTTTAACAATTTTGGAAAGTTTACATCGATTTTGAACAGACACACCCCCATACCAGCAATGTACATTGAGAACTAAAATACTTTGAATCTATGACTTGTAGAATAACGACAATACGGTAGAGTCAATCTTAAAATAACTAAGACGACGTTAAAAGTATAGCCGCTTTAGTCTTTTCTTGTATATGTGATCAGTATTACTGCAAACTTTACAGTCAAACATTATGAAAACCTATTGATACAGTCATTTGTATATAAATTAAATAAAACCGGGGAAAGAAGACAACCTTGCGGGGCACCGGTTGATATGAATGCTGTTGCTGATTGGGTGTTATTAACAGTTACAAACTGGGGTCTATTTACAAGAAAAGATTCTATCTATTTTATAACACGTAGGTCTACTGACATATTACAGAGCTTTTGCATTAAAATATGAGGCTGGTTGGTATTAAAAGCTGAAGAAAAGTCAGCAAACAGAACTCGTACATAGGAATGAGAAAGTTCTAAATGTTTGTTTAATGTTTAATAAAGTGATGGTAGCCTCCTCGACACCTCGCCCAGCCCTTTAGGAAAACTGAAGAGGGTGTATGGTGTTTGCGTATTTGGTTCGATATTGTGAGTGAGTGAGTATGGTGTTACGCCGCTTTTAGCAATTTTAAAGCAATATCAACGCGGGAGACACCAGAAATGGGCTTCACACATTGTACCCATGTGGGGAATCGAACCCGGGCGAACGCTTTAACCACTAGGCTGCCCCATCGCATCTCGATAGTGTGGAAACAACACCGGGTTCATTTCAGATTGTTACATAAAGACAGCAACTATTGCTGATTTGCTGCACTTTGCAGCAATATTCAAGTATATGACATAATCGAGACCGGATCAAAAAAGTCCAGTGTTTTCCAAATTAAGATACGATGAACCATCCTGATTTTCTGCCATGGCCGAACTAGATTGCCTAACTACAATCTACATATTAAGCACATGCGAGTGATATGAATCTGATTAGCCTGTACGAAGCACAGGCTCTCGTGTCTTTGCGAGGATTTATGATTTAGAAAAAAATAAATAAAACGTTTGAGATGACCCCCGACTCGAAATGCTTCACAGTACAATGATGTATTTTACTATGAAGCATTTCGACTATAATCCTCGCAAAGACACGAGTGCCTGTGGTACGAAGGACCAATATAATGAAAAGCTACAAAATTGTAAAGCAGTCTGGCAAGGGAGGTAACTGGGCGTTTTTGGTATGCTGCAAAGTACCGTCTATGACCAGTGTATGTGGAAAATTACAGTATAAACAGTATAATGCTAATTCTATCCAGGAATGGAATCATTCACGTACAGAGCATCCAAACTATCTAAGAATTTAAATGAGATCTATTTAACTATGAGTGCGTGAAGGTATGTCAGAAAAAAAACACCAGAAAAAATAAATTACATTTTGCTAATTTTTGTATAAAACATTTGTATTTACCAGGGCAAAGACAAGCTTTACCTGTTCGTCTGATGGCATCTACAAGTCGTTCCCTCCATCTTGGGGACTGACTCACGTCGATGTATGTCAAGATCCCCACGGCTTGAGGTATTTTGCAAGGTTTCAGCAAAACTGGGATGACGCTTTCTCGCTTTTCCTCAAGAGACATGTTGACCATTATGTCCGTCTCGAATGCACACCACCCACTTGTCACGAAGGCTGGAGTCATGATGAGCGCACATTTCCAAGACCTGGCAATAAAGTCCTGTATATTCGTAATTACTTGCTTTCCTGCATGAAAGTCCCTCCTATGATCTACACATTTCAGTCCAATCTCAGGAGACTCCAGATACTCGATCAACGCATCCACAAACTCCTCGTCGGCGATGTTGTAACAGAGGAATATGTGGTAGTCCTTGCCTTCGGGAAGAATAGAGCAAGAAGTGGGATCCATGTCAACATGTATTGTGAGATAAATTCAGAGCCCGGAAAACTGAAAAAGGAAGTTTTATACTATGGCTTTATCTATAAATATAAACCTGAAATGTGCTTCTCACTATACATTAAACATCTCTTCTTTTCCCTGAATAACCGCATATGAGTTTTTTTGTTTGCTTTCAGGTCTTACTTTTTGTAAGTAAGAGCTCTTCCCAGGTTTTACTTTTTGTAAGTAAGAGCTCTTCCCAGGTTTAGAACATGCATCTCTTTAATCCAGCATCAAGGTGATAACGTTTGGGACATGCATCTCTTTAATCCAGCATCAGGGTGATAACGTTTGGGACATGCATCTCTTTAATCCAGCATCAAGATGATAACGTTTGGGACATGCATCTCTTTATTCCAACATCAAGGTGATAACGTTTGGGACATGCATCTCTTTAATCCAGCATCAAGGTGATAACGTTTGGGACATGCATCTCTTTAATCCAGCATCAAGGTGATAACGTTTGGGACATGCATCTCTTTAATCCAGCATCAAGATGATAACGTTTGGGACATACATCTCTTTATTCCAGCATCAAGGTGATAACGTTTGGGACATGCATCTCTTTAATCCAGCATCAAGGTGATAACGTTTGGGACATGCATCTCTTTAATCCAGCATTAAGGTGATAACGTTTTGGACATGCATATCTTTATTCCAGCACCAAGGTGATAACGTTTGGAACATGCATATCTTATTCAAGCATCAAGGTGATAACGTTTGGGACATGCACCTCTTTATCACTCAAGGTGATAACGTTTGGGACATGAATATCTTTATTCCAGCATCAAGGTGATAACGTTTGGGACATGCATCTCTTTATTCCAACATCAAGGTGATAACGTTTGGGACATGCATCTCTTTATTCCAGCATCAAGGTGATAACGTTTGGGACATGCATCTCTTTATTCCAACATCAAGGTGATAACGTTTGGGACATGTATCTCTTTATTCCAACATCAAGGTGATAACGTTTGGGACATGCATCTCTTTATTCCAACATCAAGGGGATAACGTTTGGGACATGCATCTCTTTATTCCAGCATTCAGGTGATAACGTTTGGGACATGCATCTCTTTATTCCAGCATTCAGGTGATGACGTTTGGGACATGCATCTCTTTATTCCAGCATTCAGGTGATAACATTTGGGACATGCATCTCTTTATTCCAACATCAAGGTGATAACGTTTGGGACATGCATCTCTTTATTCCAACATCAAGGTGATAACGTTTGGGACATGCATCTCTTTATTCCAGCATCAATGTGATAGCGTCTAGGACATGCATATCTTTTCCTCAAGGTGATAACGTTTGGGACATGCATCTCTTTATTCCAGCATCAAGGTGATAACGTTTGGGACATGCATCTCTTTATTCCAACATCAAGGTGATAACGTTTGGGACATGCATCTCTTTATTCCAGCATCAAGGTGATAACGTTTGGGACATGCATCTCTTTATTCCAACATCAAGGTGATAACGTTTGGGACATGAATCTCTTTATTCCAGCTTTCAGGTGATAACGTTTGGGACATGCATCTCTTTATTCAAGCATCAATGTGATAGCATCTAGGACATCCATCTCCTTTCCTCAAGGTGATAACGTTTAGGACATGCATCTCTTTCCTACAGCTTCAGGGGCAACATCTAGGACTTGCATCGACGATATAGTACGTATAAAGTATGTCAATGTCCGAAGCGGCAAACTAAAGGACAGTTTGTCAAAAGCATAAAGTAAGTACTATTTATTGAGAAAACAATGTGAAATGCAGCACTAGGATGAAAGACTGAGACAAGATGCTGGCATCAGCTCAAAGTTGGAAGATCCAAGTTGGATTCCCCAGATGGGTACAAGGTGTGAAGCCCATTTCTGGTGTCCCCCTCCGTGATATTGCTGGATTATTGCTAAAAGCTTCGTAAGAACCATACTCACTCACGCACTCACTCATATATTTTTTACCGTTATTGCGCCTTACACGTCCAAGGGATTCTGTTTCCTTCAATTATCGAGACTGGGTATTCTCTGGCATTGACATTTCGTGTCGATTACTGCCTTTTCTCTTGCAGCTCCTTACTTAAAATGATGACTTTGCACAGTCAAAGAGTTGGATAGATGTTTGTTTAATCTCCCTCTTACTCAGTCAGGAGACTAAAAACTTGCATGGGGGCTGTCGTCGACGACATTTACAGCAGGCAAAGCCTACTACTGTGTAAACGGGACGTCATCTAGAAAGGAAATTGTCCTGGACGAAGTTTCGCTGTCCAGACACGTTGTATTTAACTTAGTCAAGTCTGGACCCGACAGTCAGGTAGTGTCCCATTTGTGACAGCTTCTTGGTTACTGATGCATTAAGGTGTGAAGTTTCGCTGTCAAAACTGGGATAACTAGCTGTACCAATTAAGGGTAATAATTTTAATGCAATCAACTGAGAGAAGTACAGAACAAGTAACATTCTTGAACACTAATACCGCTTGGGGATGATAATAGTTATTAGTTTTTTAACCCTATTAAAGACTCGGGCAGCCAAACACCATCTGACATTTGAACCTGCTACTAACATCATGGACTTCGAAATAGCTTTTCATAATGTTGCTAGAGATGTCTTCCCCACTACTTCCTCGATGAACTGTCAAGTCAAAACATTGATTCCACAACAGTCTCGTTTCCTGTTGACTGGGTTCCGTCCTACTGCGCAACTTAGTACAATAACAGTCCTGAATTTTGAGACCAATTCATTTAACTGGATACATAAATACTGATCAGTATTATTTGATACATCTAAGCACTTGTATATTGCAACACCACGCTCCTTATAATCCTTGCAAACACTGACAAACAGAAGCCTGCAAATCGTGGAAATCTCAAAACGAGGCTCTGTCGCTAGAAAAGTTTGGCGGTCTGGTACGGACTTGATTTTATTTCAATCACATTGTGCGTTACAGAACTACACTGAATAAGCGCAAAAAACATATATGTGTAACCAATGAGCCAGATGCATTGTGAATCATTTTACGACCTCATCAAACTGGGGTAGTCTGTGACGTCTTAGTTAATGTCATGCTGCCTACACCTCGCCATAAAATATAGAAATACGATGTTATTAAAGTTTGAAATTGAAATTCATTGTAAATACCACTTTCTTATGAAACAAGGAATTGGAATTCAGTGTAACCATAGTTGTTTGTGATGTCTATTTTCACTTTCACACGAGAAAATTCGGATAGGCTGAAAAGTAGGTCATTGTCTGAACAGGTAAATGAGACTCATGTTTCGGTTTGCTTTTTCATTTTCGCCTAGCTTTTTAGAGGAATATTCAGAAATTATGACTCTCGTCTTTCTACCAGGCTCGTGAAGATGTCCATGGACTCCCACAATCATTGGCTAATCAGGGATTATTTAACATGTGTGAGCCGAGGACTGTCAAAGTTGGGACGACCAGTGACTGAAAAACTATTCAGTAAACGTATCAGAATGAAGATACGTGACGCGGATGGTTGCTGGCTACGAAACGTGATCAGGGTAGCTGGATGTAGATGTGTTGAATATCAACGAATCTGTTTTGATATAAAATTTGTCAAATAAACAGAAACGACATATTTAATTTTTAAGCCAACTTCCATTTACATAAATTCAGGCATTCATAAATCGAGTCCGGACCGAGAAATGAAGACCATTGGTTGATTTTATTTTATGGCACGACAACATATGTAGATATGTATTTGGTAAATATCAACATGTATACATGTGACTGGGAAGGGCAAGATTATTCATGGTTTCATTCTCGTTATACCACTTATATAAAAATAACGAAGAGATATTTTCCACTAGGAAAGTCTTCCCTCTGCGAGAGGTAAGTTTGCAAATACCGTTGTGTGGCAGATATAACTTTGTACATAGGGATTTTATTATTTTAATGTTTTCTATTCTGTATATATTATATTTATCAGTAGGATAGTTAAGATATAGGTAATGTGTCCCTCAATCCCTTAACAAACCCAAGCCATGACGTACGTGCTCAACTGATTGGCCAAGCTAACCCTCCAAGTTAAACCCTTTGTCTAATAGCTTGAACTCAGTCTGCACAAAGTCACTCCACAGACAAGTTGACAGACAGACAGATATTTTATTTCAGTCTCACTTCACATAAAATACATATATAAATATATTTATAAAATATAGCATATAAGTGAGCCACCCTTTAAGGGTTATGAGAGACTAATGTATTAATACATTATAAATACTAAATACTAAATAATTATATAGGTACATACAGTGTAAAATCTATCCGTATAAAATATGTTTTCTTCTTTGCAAGATATAAAAGCAGGCTTTGGCACTGAAATATACATGGTGTTTAAAAAGTAAAACTAATTTATCATCATCACAAAGATCTAAGAAGTTGGGATAGCTAAAACTTTCACGCAAATCATCATACATAGGGCAATACAACAGAACGTGTCTTTCATCCTCAACACTCTCACTGCACTGAAAACATACCCTCTCATTCCGATCACATTTGTATATCTGCTGATTTCCAAATGCAGAGGAGCAGTACCTGATCTGAATTTGGAGAAGGCAGAGCGGTAAGAACGGGGCATACTCATACTCACATAACTTTCACAGCCATACACATCCTTAAACATTCGATACGTTCGTAATTTATTACCTCCCGTTCTACCGCTTGGCTTGTGTAATAACTCATACCAATCATTCACATACTTCTGCATACAAATATCTCGCACCTTCTCGCATACCCGTTTAACATTAACATCAGCTTCCACATTAAGGCCCCATTCATCTAACCTTGCTTTTACTCGGAAATTCCAAATTTCTCACGCATCCACTCGCACAACTCTCCGACCATATAAATACATACTTATTTATTCTAAAAGACATTTTTCTAAAACGACAGTATTGTCTAACAATACATATCCATTGTCTAACAATTGGAGGGATCCATCCCATGTCTCCATTCACTGCAACGTTAGGTGCATATTTACCCACCCCCAAGAAAAATCTCAAAGCACGATGGTGGACAGCATTTACTGCGGATACCTCCCGATGTCCCCATATAGATGCCCCATAACTTAAAACTGACCACACCATCGTATCATATAACTGTGTATCAGTTGTGGATTCCATTCCTCCAAGTGCCTTATATTTACAAATAAGGAGGCCTAAAGCTCTGTTAGCAGACTTTGTTGCTGCCTTAGCCATAGCATTATAGTCAAGATGTTCTGTGAGCAGTAGGCCTAAATAGCTATAACTATTAACAATTTCTAAAACGGAGTTACCAACAGTAAAAACCGCACTTGTTCTTTGTGCACTAATATGTCTAAAATGTACAATCTTAGATTTATCATTATTAATGCATATATTGCATATATTGACATGGACTGCTCAAATCAGATATATTCTGGAAATATTGCTATGCTGGTCGACAGCCAGTCTCATCCACTGGGGTGAATTATCGACTAATAAATGCTCCTTCGGTCAATAGCTCACACCCGTAGCGTGTGTTTGTAGTTTATTACATTCACTGCTCTGCTACAAATGAGCCCCCAGTGAGGATATTGCCACCACGGATGACATAGATTGAATGCCAGCAACATCCTGTGAATATTCCCCGAATATCAACACCTGTTTTTCATTGATGACTTTTGACTGTGATTGCGACTTTTCAATGTGACATTTGTGTTTTGACTGAATGATTTTGAAGGAACATTTGCTAGCTAGCATATTTGATTTTGTGAACTTTTACTGTGATTGCGACTTTTCATGATATTTCTTGAAACCATGGACACTTGGTTCACGTGAGTTGAATGAATGTTTGACTGTTCAACATCATTGCTAGCTAGCATCTAATATTGTATTTTGTGAACTTAATTACCTGGCGCCAGTTCTTAAAATGTGACTTTGTTTACATCTTACATTTTGTAACATAGCATTTTGCATTAACTTGATTACAGTATGCTTTTGTGTCAGCTACCTGTCAGGATACTGTTGGTACCAACCTTGCGTATATAGCTATATTTTTGTCCATCACTTGTTTGATTTGATTTAGTTCAGTCTTGTTCACTTTAGTCTAGTGTAGTTCAGTATTGCTTTCGTTAGGTTAGGTTAGTTTAGTTGACTTTAGTTTAGTTTAGTTTAAATAAATTTAGTTCACTCTTGTTTAACTTAATTTAGTTTAGCGTTATTTCAGTCCATCCCTTTGTTGTCCGTTAAATTAGTTAATTCATCCAAGGGTATTCGGTGTGCTTGTGTGTATGAAACTGACTTGATTTCATTTCTGTTCTTCTCTAATCCAATAAAAGGTAAGCAAATATAGCTAGTTAGCAAGCATAAAAATAAAATAAAATTAAATTAAATTAAATATGCCTTAATGTACTGACTGTGTGACGACAGACTAACGCACCTTCTTGAAACACTTGACTAATCTTCCCTTCCCCATCCCCCATGTTGTCTTACATATTCATGTTGTAGCTTTGGTAAAAGTTTTACAAATATACATTGTTAACTTAGGAATATCATTGCATTATGCATGCGAATATGTCAGCTCCAGCCTGTGTACACCTGCCTAGGTTTCTTACTGTTGTAGTTATGTATACAGCTGGTGCTGTTTCAGAGTGGTGTTAAACACAACTCGTACACTCACCCTTTCGTCCTTCTGTGTATATATTTATACATTTTCTTCTAGTGTGCTCTATTGGGAGGATTTGTCTTTAGATTGGTTCGGTGTTAGTGTCTGAACATTCCAGACATTCCACTTGTTCTTTCGTTCGCCATAGCAGATGACATGTAGATATCATTGTAGTTCCCTTGTATTCTGATATGGACAGGATAATGCGCTGTTTGCTTCAGTATTACTTACCATAGTTGTATCACAGCTCAGTCGTACTTCTATGTTTTCCCACATGTGGCTTTAGTCACAGGGATGTTATGTACCAGTAGGGCACTTAATATCATTGGGTATTCGCATGTTCGCACCACGAAATTGATGCTTCCCTGATTACCGTGGCTAGTCCCGCTACCTTGTTCTGCTTTTGAGCGATTGAAGTTTTCCTTTGTTTACTTCTGCTACATCATTTAACCATGGAGTTCAAGGATGAAGAGTTGGAAGGAATGGCCACACTCTTTAAGAGGCTGGGGATGCAACCAAAGGCTGATACGCCTGAGGATTTTAAGGCCTGGATCAAGGGCATGTATTCCCAAGAAGGTTCTCTTAAAAGGGTAGAGGAAGAGACATCTGGACCTGGTGTTACTCATACCCCTCAGCCAGTAACACCAGATGTTAGGCCTATAGCTGTAGCTTATCATCAGTTTCCGAAGCTACCTTTGTTTAGCGGTGATTTTCAGGGCAAGGATGCTTCATTTGACCTTTGGACTTATGAAGTTGATTGTCTCTTGAAATCAACGCAATACACCCCAGATGTTATGGATCAGGGCTTAGATTTTCGAAGCTCTCTTTGCGCTAAGATGGTCGTAAGTGCCATACATTAACATTAACGTACGACTATCTTAGCGCTAAGAGAGCTTCGAAAATCCAGGGCCAGGCCATTAGGCATTCTTTGAAGGGCAAAGCAGCAAGAGTAGCAATGAGATTAGGATCCAAGGCTTCAACACAGGATTTGCTGAACAGACTCTACAGTATTTATGGTACTGTTCAACGCAAGGAAGCTCTGTTAGCTCAGTTTTATAGTGCTTCCCAAGGTGAAACTGAGAACGTGGTCACTTGGGGATGCCGTTTGGAACACCTGTTATCGAAAGTCACAGATCATCACACCATTCCTTTTCAAGATCAGGATGACATGCTGAGGAACATGTTGTGGGGTGGTCTTAGGCCATCACTCAAGAGTGTATCTGGTCATAAGTTCGATTCAATACCCTCTTTTGATGGACTCAGGATATCCTTGAGGGAGATCGAGTATGACATGAAGCAAGGACGAGATCCATCAACTAGGAATAGGACAGCTACTGCTAAGATGGCCTCCGAGTCAAATGTGGTGACCAAGAAAGATATTGAATGTCTGACTTCCGCCATCCAACAGCTACAAAGTGAGGTCTCAGATATGAAGATCAAGCAACAGGAGACAGCCCATGTCCACCAGCATCAGTCATTCGCCTCCAGCCAACGAAGTTACCCTAAAGGTAGATACCAACGTAGTTTGTCATCTAAGCCTCAGGGTGAGACTGCAATCCCATTGGGATCCTACTTGCCCCAGAGCTTAGGTAAAGGACCAGATCACAGAATACCACCAGGCACAGGTGATACCGTTAATCCTGACTACAGAGGTACTGGAACGTACTCTAGTCATAGGAGATTTAGACTTACATCACCTATGTCCAGTTCCCAGATAGGTGCACCGAGGAACAAGTACCCACCACCAAACGAGAGAATTTATCCTCATTCTACAAGGTCACAGGAAGTCATTTGCTACAGATATGGTTACCCCGGACACATTGCCATTGGATGTCGAGTTCGTCTGGACCATCTTCGTCATCCTTTAAACTGGCAAGGGTCTATGGGCAGGGGTCACCAATAGACTCGCTTCAGAACCCCAACAGAGTACCTGAAGGGTTAGTTGGTTGTGCAAACGAAGACAACATCCTGCTTGATGGTAAACCAGTTCGAGCCTTGCTGGACACAGGAGCGACTGTGTCCATTGTATCTGAAGCATTTTATGAGGAACAGTTACAGCACATTGCCTTACAGCCACTAGGAGATATATTGGACATCGAGTGTGCTGGCGGCGAGACATTGCCATACAAAGGATATATTAAAGTGGGTGTATCTGTCACTGGAGGAGGTGTTGATGTTGATGCTGTTCCATGTCTATTTCTTGTAGTACCCACTACCAGGTACAGTGTCCGAGTACCAGGGATTCTAGGAACAAACATCTTAACCTCTTTATTGAATACCTGCAGGAATCAACATGGAGCCAAGTTTCTACAGAAAGCCCCATTGCACACACCATGGTATTTAACCTACAGGACTATTGTTCTGGGAGAAAAGGAACTGGAAAGGAACAAGTGGAGACTTGGACTGGTGAGGAGCGCTGAGGAGAAGAATGTCATGATCCCTGCTAATAGTAGAGTTGTAGTGAAAGGTCAGGTATCAAAGGGACTGAAGACACCTAGACTTTGTGCCCTTTTACAACCCACTTCCCAGGCCTCCATTTCTTCTGATGTTGACATAGCTCCAACAGTTATCACTTATGATAAGAACAGTCCTGATGACATTGAAGTCCATGTTTTCAACGTCACCACCTGTACTATAGTTATACCTCCCCGATCGTTACTTTGTGAACTGCAACCAGTGACTCTGCAAGAAGCACCATGTGGACAACCTGTAGATGAGGAGACTCTAATTGAACAATTGGAAATAGAAAAAGAGGATTTGACGTCTCAGGAGATAGAGCAAGGTCTTGATGTTATCCTGAGGTTCAAGAAAAAAAATTCCAAGCATGAAGGGGACCTTGGCCACTCATCAGCTGTTCAACACAGAATTTATTTTAACCAACGATCATCCTTTCAAACAGAGACATCGTCGAATACCACCAGCCATGTTCGATGAGGTTCGGAGTCACTTGCAACTACTCTTGTCTGCCAGGGTCATCCGAAGTTCTCACAGCCCTTTGGCATCAAATGTCATCTTAGCAAGGAAGAAGAATGGAACTCTGAGGATGTGTATAGATTTTAGACAGCTTAATCGTCATACCATCAAGGATGCTTATGCCTTACCACGTATCGAGGAGCTGTTAGACTGTTTGGGAGGTATGACCTACTTTTCGGTTCTGGATATGAAGAGCGGGTACCATCAGGTTGAGAGCGAAGAGAGCCATAAGGAAAGAACTTCCTTTACGGTTGGACCTTGTTTTTTTTCCGAATATAACCGAATGCCATTTGGACTCTCCAATGCCCCAGCGACTTATCAGCGTCTTATGGAACACTGTCTAGAGGGTCTCCATCGGAAGATTTGCCTCATCTACCTTGATGACCTCATCATCTTCTCCAAGACATACGAGGAACATATTCAATGTCTGGAGATGGTTTTCAAGCGACTCCAAGAATGTGGCCTCAAGCTTGCTCTGAAAAAGTGCAATTTTTTCAAGCGCCGGGTGAGATATGTCGGGTATATCATTTCTGCTGATGGTATTGAGGCAGACTCAGAGAAGGTGGACAAGATAAAGAACTGGCCAACACCATTAACACCTGAGGAAGTTAGAAAGCTTCTCGGATTTGCTGGTTAATACTGTAAATTTGCGAAGAATTTTTCCAGTATTGCAAGACCTCTGTTTGACTTGACGCCAAAGACTGTCAAGAAATCAAGGAAACAAACCTCAAAGACAAAGGATTTTGAGTGGGGTCAGGACCAGCAAAGAGCCTTTGATAAGATCAAGATGTGCCTTTCTATGCTTGCGGTTCTTGGGTATGCTGACTACACAAAGCCCTTCGAACTTCATACAGATGCAAGCACTCAAGGTTTGGGAGCAGTGCTCTATCAGCACCAGGATGGCCACCAGTACGCAAGTAGAGGACTGAAACCTTCTGAACGAAACTACTCTGCCCATAAATTGGAATTTTTGTGCTTAAAGTGGTCAATTTCAGAAAAGTTCCACGATTATTTGTATGGCAATGACTTCATCGTGATGACTGACAATAACCCTCTGACCTATGGCCTGACTACAGCTCGTCTAGATGCCACTGGACATCGTTGGTTAGCCTCTCTAGCCAACTATAACTTTGCCATCAAGTATAGATCAGGAAAATCCAACATTGATGCTGACATCCTGTCCAGATTACCTCAGAGAGAAGATCAAGTACAAATGGAAGAAGTAAACAAGGACTCAGTTAGAGCTATCTGTGATGCATTACAGATAAGTTCCTAGCCTTGTTGAAAGTTTGATTCTTTCCACCCCTGACTTCAATGAGCAAGAAATGACAACTGAACAGAGATGCGACTTTAATGCCAGGGATTGGAGATGGACTCAGTCGAAAGGGTGGGCAGCAACATGTTTTAGTTGTGACTGACCACTTCACCCGTTATGCCCAGGCCTACCCAACCAAGAACATGACGGCCAAGACAACTGCTGAAGTTTTCTTCAACAATTTCATCATACATTACGGGATACCTAAACACACCCACTTGGATCAAGGAGCCAACTTCACTGGTAAGCTCATGCACGAGTTATGTCAGCTGCTGAAGATCAACAAGTCACGGACTACACCATACCACCCAATGGGAAATGGAATGTGTGAACGCTTCAACAGGACTCTCTGCAACATGCTTGGGACTCTTGATCCGGACAGTAAGAAGAATTGGCGAGCCCATGTTGGACCATTAGTGCATGCATACAACTGTACTCGCCATGAATCTACAGGCTTTGCACCATTCTTTGTGATGTATGGACGCCATCCACGTCTCCCAGTGGACATAGCCTTTGGACTTGACATGGAGACAGCCAAGCAGAAGTCCATGGCCAGTTACACTAATGAATTGAAAGAACGCCTCACCCAGGCTATGACATAGCTGCTACTGCTGCCAGGAAATCCCAGTCCAGGAACAAGAGTCTCTACGACCAGAAAGCTAGAGCAGCCATTCTTGAAAAATGTGACAGAGCACTTGTGAAGGTTGTTGCATTTGATGGCAAGCACAAGTTAGCTGACAAATGGGACCAACCAAATCCATCCATACCAGTGTTTGTCCTTGGTAAGGAGAATGGACAAGGATGAACAAGAACCTTGCATAGGAATTTATTACTTCCAATTGGATGTCTTCCCCATTCAGCACCAGTGCCCAAGCCAAGAAAAAACAAGCCCTCACAACCGACTCCAAAAGTTAAGCAGACACCCAGAAGACACCACAGGCAGCTCACAGAGTGAAGAGGGACTAGACGAAGGAGAAGACATTGTGTTCATCTCCACTCAACATTTGGATTCTTCAGGGTCAGCTCTTTATCAAGCTGGCAGGCCACTTGAAGACAAGCTGAATGAAGATACTGAGAATGAGGACCAGACCAACTTTGAAACCGAGGAAACTGTAGATGCTGAAGAACACGAACAGCATTCGGAAGAATCTCCAGTTCAGCCTGTGGATGTCCCAGCAGACACAGAACCTCCAGCTCATCCTGTGGATGTCCCACCAGACACAAAACCTCCAGTTCAGGTTGTGGATGTCCCACCAGATTGAGAGCCTGCTGCTGATACACCACTGCCACCAGACCCTCAACCAAGGAGATCCGTTCGAGATCGGAGACCACCCAGTTGGATGAGCAGAGGCGAGTTTGCACTTTCGGCAGTTACGCAACCAGACTGGTTAGCTCGAGCAAACTATCTCAGCTCTCTAATAGAGGAGGGGGTGCTCGAGGGCCAACCAAAACGTCTTTCCGATGCATTACTGGATTTGGTCACCGGAAAGAATAAATGACGATGACGTCATTTCAAGGAAGGGGGGAAGTGTGTGGCAGATATAACTTTGTACATAGGGATATTATTATTTTAATGTTTTCTGTTCTGTATATATATATATATATATATATATATATATATTTATCAGTAGGATAGTTAAGATATAGGTCATGTGTCCCTCAAGCCCTTAAGAAACCCAGGCCATGACGTGCTCAACTGATTGGCCAAGCTAACCCTCCAAGTTAAACCCTTTGTCTAATAGCTTGCACTCAGTCTGCTCAAAGTCACTCCACGGACAAGTTGACAGGGACTGTTCAAATCAGATATATTCTGGAAATATTGATGTGCTGGTCGACACCCCAGTCTCATCCACAGGGGTGAATTATCGACTAATAAATGCTCCTTCGGGCAATGGCTCACACCCGTAGCGTGTGTTTGCTACAGTAATTTATTACATTCAGTCTCTAAATTTCCCCATTTGAATGCTGAAGAATAAAGCTTTATCAATTGGTGTAAAGGATCTAACATTCATCTAATTTCCAAACACGTAGTACGTTTATCTCCATTCTACCATAACCGATTTAACATCGAACTTCCTCGTCCTGCGGAAGACACGGCGTAATCCGGCATTGGACGAGAGGCGAATTGAACTCGTCTGTGAAGGGAGTGGTGGGTGCCGTTCGTAATTTTGTTAACATTGCAACATAAAAAAAATATTCTGTCCAAAGAAAACAAACTACTGTTTATTCAATGCAATAATGTAACACCTAAGAGCTTGGTTTTTATAATCATAACTCCACACGACCGAAACCAGCCTATTGTTTTGTGTGCCGTGTTACTGTACCCCCCTGGCCACACTATAATGGAATCGTCTGACCTACTCATTTTCTTGGAAAACAGTTTGAAACAGTTTGAAATGGCGGACGAGCCAGTGTTTACATTTTGCGAAAGGTTGAAATTCGAAGTGACAGTTGAAAATACTTGACTGACTGTCGAACCTGAACCCTGCAGAATCGAAGAATAGATCCTTTTCTGATCGACCTATGACCTGTAACTCATCAAAGACTGTTGATTTTTATGACCGGCGAAGGGCGATCATGATTTCACGTACCTGCCTCCACCCCGGCATGCGACAAAAGAGTGACAGTCCTGCTGCTTATTGTACATGCGACTAACTTGGGATTCCCTGGAACATTGTTCGAGCTGAATTCTCGTGGTTCAATTTTTGACAGTTTGAACGATGCAACGGGACATGATGGAGTATGAGTGGCCTAAATTTTGTGTTTCGCCTGACCGTTATCTTGCGAATTTCTCATTCTAAACGGAAACAAATATACCATTTACCAGGTAGGTAAATGTTTGCGAACGTTTTGCCGCACAAATAGGGATAGATAGGGATGTATTTTAAATTTTTTACAAGGTTTTCTGATTTATATGTTAGATATTGTTTGTTTATGTTTGGGGCTGTGTATTGTAATTGAGTTTGAATATTTTTATAATAGAAGGTAATAATTATGATAGTGAAGTTCCCTAATAATTGTGGAGGAGAAATCGTATACAGTCAGGCCGCGACTTAGCGACTCATCCCTTTGATCCCTTTATCATAAGTGATAGGGAAATTTCGACGACCACGCTGTTTTGGGTAAGACTTCAATCCAGAAATATATGCTCGGTACCGTTTTAACACGAATTAAAATTATAAACTATTTTTCGCAATGTTATTGAAAACAAGGATTCTCGGACACATGCTTCGGCAGCGGGTCCACAATAACATTGTCAAAGAGCAAAGTAACGATGTAAATTGAATAATGAATAATGAATAAAATCCGTAATTTACGTATAGGTAGCGATTTCTTGCTTAATATGTTCAAAATAGCATTATTTTACCCAAAACTTTCGTCTAAATCTAAAAGTTTTCGTTTACGAGGACGGTATCCATTGCCGTAATATGATTGGCTGCCTTAGGTCACGTGTCTGATTTTGACCAATCACGACCCTTATAGCAGACTGTAGCGAAAAAGCGTCATAAGAAACCAATTTTTATCCAATAAAATCGCTTCTTACAACTGTGAAAATACTCTCGGCAAGGGTTCAGTGATGTTGTTGATGTTCAGAGCTTTCGAACGATACCCGACATCAAACGATTCGCCTCCCATGTTATTCATACGACGCTTCGAAAACGGAGGTATTTTCCGTTGTTACAACATTATGTCATGTTACCGAGCGGAAAGCCACAGATATCGGGAAATAGGCGACCATACATATTATTTAAGAAATCTTTTTATAATAATTTTCTGATGACGTAAAAATGAAAATATAAAAGAAAAAAGGCACGGGCATGTTATGACATGTCACAAATGGAAAAAAATCGCCATAGTTTTTGAATAACATTATAAAAATAAACTTCATATTTATCAACAGTAGGATTAGATCTTTTAAATGGTGTATGGGATGTAGTAGCAATAACGTTTTACAAGCTTATAATTTCCTTCATAAACATAGGCTTCATCTATGACCTCAGAGTCTCGATAGTAAGGAAAGATATCAAGGGGAAGTAACTCGGTGCATATACTGTGGTTTCAGCAGTACGGACGTTTCACTATCCGAACGGGTTTTTTTAAAAACCAAAGTGTTCGTATTAACGAGGTCTGACTGTAATTGTATTTTTCGAGTTTTAATAAATGTTTCATCAGCATTTCCATCACGTCGATCTGTTGTGTTGATATTAGTCATGTTGGTGGCCAAGCTGAAGTAGTGCGGCAGTGTTGTATAGGCCTACTGCGCAGTGAAGCGCCGTGAAATCAGACGCATTTTCAATCCAAATTGATACCGTCTGATTTTATTGATTGACCAATCAAATTCGAGCATTTCACGTATCCATAGTAGAATAAGTGATAAAGCCAAGGGTAAGCATGTAAAAGCAAAGCTAGTAAGTGAGTTCCAACTTGAGCTAAAACAAAATACGTGGTAGAGATGGCAGATAACTGTCGCTATAAAATTGTGAGAGTTATTATTTCCCGACATTACCTGCACATTCGTGTTATGATTAAACAATAAGAGCTAGGTAAACTAATTATGCTTTAAGCATCTCTCTTAAAATCTTCCATGAAACACGTGTATCCTTAACATAGGCTTCCTAGAAAGATACCTGCCATAATTAGTCCAGTCAATTTATGATGAAAACCACTAAACCTAGAACAAATTGCAAAAGAATTTATTTGAATTGATTCAAGTTAAATAAACTATGTACAGCAATATGTAACAGACAATTGTAGAAAAATTGTATGTGGGAAACATTTTGAAATTTTGCCTTGAAATTGGGTAGTATAGGGCTTTTGCCGGGGGAAAAACATATTTGAACATCATTCAGCATCGGAATGTGTTAATTTCTAGTAAATGTTAATTGATAATTAGTAAATATAATTATTGATGTTGTTACAACATTGATAATATAGATGTTTAAGTCAATTATGGATAACACACCGTGAGGCTATGCAATGGTCAATAAGTTCTTGAAATTAACGTTTAACATATCAACAATGAATCAGTTTATATATCTACGTCACAAGGAGACTAATATGAGTCACTGTTTGTTTTTTTCACTAATTATGCTTAAAATAGATGGCATTGCTGAGACTGTTTAGTCAGATTCATCAGTGACAATATATGAGATCAAGGAATTGGTACATCTGAAATCCCTTGCATTCAGCACACATAGAGCACTCCAGTCCATGTTTTATACATGTGCACCTTCTCCTGCCACAGTCTGTTTTACATTTGCAATGTATGACTCTCAGCACATTGTCAGGAGCAGGCGGTTTGTCTGTTGTTCTCGGGTGAAGTTTCCCATCGACTTGTACCCATCCCCAGTCTTCAGGATCAAGGTTGCCAGAATTGTCCATCCATTCCTGAACTTGCCAGTAGACACGATAACTGTGATAATTGGCCACAGCTGAAGTAGGAGGAAGTGTATGCCGAGCTAGTTGCCACTTTTTCCGAGAACCTGCGATGACGAAGGTTATCTAAGCTTTCTCCTGGTTGACCGTTGTACAAACAGACCAAGGCTCCCTCGCCTGCTGCCACGATCTCTGATTCTGCAGAAAACACGTGAGCATGCTTTCGAAACTGACCGTGACTTCAGGACTTGTCCTTTTCCTATTCTAAAATGTCTGTGGCATCACAGCCTACAACGGCATGAATAAACGGCAAATATATACACGCACCGTGTCCAAGAGCCTCCTGAAGTTGTTGTATGTTCCAAACACTTTGTTTCTTTGTTGTTTTCCTGCCTTCCGATTGCGTGAAGAGATGACATGTTGTTAGTTTGGCATGATGACATAGAAGTACAAGCAGGTATGTATCATCGCTGATGACTGTATTTGGAGATATAGCTGCACTCATTACAACGGTTTGTACGATGAGAAGATCAGCATCGCCACTTGCATGTACGGTCTCGACATTGTTTTCCTGAAGTATCTTCCTCAGCAAGTTGATGAACTTCTGCTTGTTTGATGAGTTAGACAGGAAGTGATCTTTTCGTGACAGGATGGGCATGTCTTCAAGGAAGTTCACTTGTGGACCCACGACACCTCCAGATCGTCTCGTGTATACAGTGTCTTTTGTTGATGGACCTGTATCATACCCATCAAAGACAACGATAGGACTGTGCAACAGGAAGTTAAGTGGTGGTGTACGTGCAACAGGAAGTTAAGTGGTGGTGTACGTGCAACAGGAAGTTAAGTGGTGGTGTACGTGCAACAGGAAGTTAAGTGGTGGTGTACGTGTAACAGGAAGTTAAGTGGTGGTGTACGTGCAACAGGAAGTTAAGTGGTGGTGTACGTGCAACAGGAAGTTAAGTGGTGGTGCACGTGCAACAGGAAGTTAAGTGGTGGTGTACATGCAACAGGAAGTTATGGTGGTGTACGTGCAACAGGAAGTTAAGTGGTGGTGTACGTGCAACAGGAAGTTAAGTGGTGGTGTACGTGTAACAGGAAGTTAAGTGGTGGTGTACGTGTAACAGGAAGTTAAGAGGTGGTGTACGTGCAACAGGAAGTTAAGTGGTGGTGTACGTGTAACACTTTTGTGACAAGCTAGTCAAAACATGGCCAGCTGAGCAGGTTATGTCCATGGAAATTGCCGACCTGAACAGATTGTTAGTTGTTCAAAGGTTTCCGAGAAACACATTTTTATGCCAGGGACCATCCTACTGTGTCTAAATTTGTAGGACCATCGAACTGTGGATAAATTTGTAGGATTATCTTAGTGCGGCTAAATTTGTAAGATTGTTCTACTGTGGCTAAATTTCTAGAACCATCCTACTGTGACTACATTAGCAGACCCATCTTACTGTGGCTACTTTTATATGACCATCCTACTGAGGTTAAATTTGTAGGACCATCCTACTGTGGCTAAATATGTGTTTGACCATCATTCTGTGGTGAGATGTGCATGACCATTCTACCATAAGAAAATATGTCTGACCATTCTACTATACTAAAACGATAATGTTCAGAAAATGTACGACTCAACATGTGTTGAGTATAGTGTTCCAGCAAGCTGCTAACTCATCTACCACACATCTGTTACAGCCAGCCAGAATTGATTATTGCAGTTCAAGTGTTAAATGATGTAATGCATGATATCTCAAGCACAGAGCACGATGTTCATAATGCATTGTCCTGCCACGTTGTAGGTTTGAAGACCCGTGCCGATCCGGGTGAGAATTAGTCATTTGCAACCCATGCTTGTCGTAAGAGGCGACTAACGGGATCGGGTGGTCAGGCCTCCTGACCTGGTTGGCACATATCATCGTATCCCAACTGCGTAGATCGAAGCTCATACTGTTGATCACTGGATTGTCTGGTCCAGACTCGATTAGTTCCAGACCACCGCCATATAGCTGGAATATATAGCCCCTTTCCGTAGCCTCCAAGAAGGCTTGTCCCGGAATAACACGAGTTGGTCACGAATGGGAGCAATTTATCACATTCCATAAACGGCAAGTGTTCTTTGTTTGGAAGCTGTTCGCCTCGAAGTTTCAACTATTGTTTGAAGACAGTAAGGTAATGCTATTGCAAAATCTCTTAAATATTACAGTCGAACTTCAGAGTGTTGTCTGCAGTTGTCTCGATCAAAAAGTTTCGGCCCATTATATCCTTTCCTTATTCATCATTTTTGTGGTGTGTCGAACCTCATATAGAGGCGACTGACGCGATCGGCTCGCTGACTTGGTTGACACATGTCGTCGTATCCCAATGGCGTAGATCGATGCTCATGATGTGGATCACAGGATTGTCTGGTCCAGACTCGATTATTCAGACCACCGCCATATAGCTGGACAATTTACTGAGTGCGGCGTTAAACAACAAACAAATAAACAAACGAACGAACAGCACTTCCCCCCAGGAACAGAAATAGCTGTGAAAATAAGTCGACGGACCATTGGAAATCAGTAAAGACGTGAAGAAGTGTTCATGAAGTCCATTGTACTATTCCAGTTGTATCATGATATGAATTTATGAATCACCTTGAAATAGAAACCATACACAGAGTTGGCAAAAACATGAGTTCGCGAATAGGTATCCTGCCCCACCGTCACAACACCCGTCAACAACACATGAGATGGTTATTCAAGTGTTCACTTGGAAACACAGGAGAAAGTACGATACGAGTAATAATGAATTGCATCGAAGATCTTTTTTGACAATATCCTTCAAAGTTGGACATGTTATCCACATGCTCACCATAGACATTTCTGAACAAGTTGTGCTGTTACCCGGGGCGGTGGAAGTAGCCTAGTGGTTCAAGCGTTGGCTCGTCACGCCGAAGACCGGGTTCGATTCCCCACAAGGGTACAATGTGTGAAGCCCATTTCTGGTGTTCCCCGCCGTGATGTTGCTGGAATATTGCTAAAAGCGGCGTAAAACCAAACTCAGTCAGTCAGTCAGTCAGTCAGTGATGTTACCCTCTTTGAAATCTTCGTAGAAACATTCAGACCCGTGCTAGAAATATTCGGACACTTGACGCAATTTCCATAGCCTTACATGTTAATTCAGTGTAGCATAAATAATGTTCATGAAGTGAGTTTAAGATAGATCTTTGTAAAATTTGACAGGCAAATGTGAAATCATCTCTGCTCTGCTCACATAATTTCAGTTCAGTTTTCCGACCACTATTTAACTAATGACATCACATTTATCAGCTTACGTATGGTTCAACAATGCACAATCCCATAGGCCGTCATGTGAAAGGAGTCCTCGGCACTGTACATATGTTGATTAACTTGTTGCCATTCGATAAATAAGCAACGAAATATTAAACAAAGTATGAGATTTGTAGGTAAGATGATTCCTCACAAATGTGCAATATTTTACTGGGATCTTACGAAAATTAAATTAATGGAAATTATTTATGCCACACTAAATTAACATGTAAGTCTGCTACGGAAGTTACGTCAATTGTCCGAATATAAATAGGCACGGATCTGTACATGCTTGAGTGTACCTGGAAAGTTTGAAAATGTAACATGAGATGGGTGAGTGAGTTTTAGTTTTACGCCGCTTTGAACAATATTCCAGCAATATCACGGCAGGGGACACCAGAAATGGGCTTCCATTTGAAAAGCCAATTATTTGAAAAAGATGATGAAGATTTCCCTTGATGTTGTGTAACACTTTTGTGGCCAGGAAAGTGTTACACTGGACTGACGACTAACTATTAGCACTGCATGACGCCACTACGGTACATTTTCTATCCCTTGCATGGCGTAGAGAAAATAGGAAATGACGTTATTTCCTGATTATCATCAGTTCCTTAATTCCCATTTGTTTTCATACATAACGTCTTGTACATTTAGATGACAAACACCTATTCTCACGTAATGTGCACCATTTGTAATTTTACGTGTCTCCGCATTAAAAACAACCTTTTTACTGATTTCATCTGTTCATTTCATGTTTGTATTAGGCGACAGGCTTGGTAGGTATCCAAGACATAGAAATAGATCTGTTAGTCATGTGTGTGTAAGATTGTTCTGCAAAGAGTTAGTCAAAATCACCAAAATCTGCATGTTTCCAGTGATAGTTTGAGTGAATATTTCAAAGTAAATAGTCATCTAGTGTGAACAAAACAGATTGCATTTTCGACATAAGGTATTGTCCCTTTTATCCATACCCAGAACATATCTTCATATGGTTTAATTGTTTTAGAACTCATGTTTAATGTGATGTCTCCATAAAGAGTATAATCAACGTTACCCCATGAAAATGGGCATATTATTATTTTTTAAACTTATTAAGTATTCATTAGATAGTATGCCTTAGAATATGCCCCATGAGGCAATTTACACAACGCATAAACAGTTCTTAAATTTCACAAAATAACGGAAAAATCTGTCCATGTAAGTTATTATGACAGTTAATTCCAAAACTTTAATTACTAGTAAATTTCATTACAGTGACTGAAAATGATAGGCTTGAGAAACCAAAAACGAAGTGTGATATATTAATTAGGCCTCTAATACAAGAAAATTTATTATTGGTGATGTTTTAAACTTTTTTGAATAATTTCATAACAGTCTGTTAAAGGTCACATGCAACCCAAATATCAAACATAATTAAAACACAATTATCACTTATTCATGACATATAATATACATTGCTGGTTATGAAAAAACATATAAACAAAATTATAAGCGTACAATCGCAAATCAAAAGTGCAATATTGTGTACTTGGGTTTACTTCCCAAGAAACGAAGCAGCCGGGATACCGAACCCAGTCAGAGCGGGTGGGTGTGCACTCAAGTGTAACGGCTGGTTCATTTGCAGATGCCCTCACGGCTCATTGTGTGTGTATATATAGAAATGTTGGGTTTTGTAAATACATGCTCATTTTTTGTGTATAACATTTTGCAATCAACAGACATCATAACATGTCATGTGTTCAAGTATCACAGCTGCCTGTCTGTGTAATTACATAATGCGACAGAGACCGAACCCGGGCCATAAATCAATGCATTTTGTTTATGGTGTATAGCCTGATAGGTGTTAAGTTCAAATTGCATGTGGTCAGTGATCGCAGTTGTGTATTGAATATTGTAATTAGCAGACAGGCAGGCAGACACACAGGTGTCAATAAAACAAGACATTGAGTTTTCTCTGTGACAACGACATATCTATATCACAGTTAGAAATTCTGTCAACGCTAAATAATGACATTGCTTTTAAGTATCGAACTGAGAAAGTGACTCACGTGTGGTGAAATAGACAAATGAATTATATAAACAGTTAATTTACTGTCATAACATATAAAAAGCTTGCGCCTGTGAAATATCAACAAAACATTAGAAAAATAGCTTACACCAAAGCCTTCACCGAGTATTCACCGGACAGCCCGCTTCCAAGTTGCGCGAACCTATTTCACTTTGCACGTGCTATGAGCGCAGCCCAGCTGTTGAAACCAGTTTCCCCCCGAAAAGTCGGGGGAAAATTAGTGAATCGTTTGAACTCCGATTTCGCGCGGGTTTTTTCATCGCGTTATTTTGCAACTTTATAAGATGATTTGTTTTAGCAAGTCCATACCGAAAGGTATCAGAATCTGCAAAGTTGTGTTTTACGTTGCATGTGACCTTTAAATCAATGAATATATTTTCCGGTCTGTTTGTCAATTATTGAAAATCTTTGGCTTTTCATAATGGCCTAATTGTCACAATGGCTTAATATATATACTGAGTCAAAAAAGAAACTTCACATTCTTTCTTCAGGGCACTATAAAAGAACAAGAGATGGTAAGATGGTTAAATTGTTATTATTTCATTGCTGAGATCTGTGTGATGTACTCGATACACTGACAGTGCCATAATCAGTTCCATTAGGCTACACCGCCGTTCAAAAACATGGGTATACAGAATGTCAAGTCACAAGAATAAAAATGCGAAATTTCTAAGTTCAATATCGTGTATGGCCGCCCCGCGCATTCACCACTGCCAAACACCGTCTCCTCATCGACTGCCTGATGCTTGTGAACACGTGGTTGGGGATTCTGCGCCATTGCTCTTGCAAGGCAGCGCCAAGTTCCTGCAAATTCTGAGGTTGGTTCCTAAGACCACGAAGCCTTCTCCCAAGTGCATCCCAAACGTGCTCTATTGGATTAAGGTCAGGGGACCTCGATGGCCAGTCCATGACGTTGATTCCAGCGTTTTGAAGGAAATTTGGTATGCGGCCGAACATTATCATGCTGGAACTGTAGACCTGGGCCATGAGCCGCCATGAAAGGAACGAGTTCAGGGGTGAGCACCTGGTTGCGGTAAGCAGCAGCTGTGAGGTTTCCACGGATGACCAGAAGTCGGGAACAGTTGTTCCCACAGAAAGCACCCCACACCATGCAACTTCCGCCCCCGAATCTGTCGACTTCCTGTACACAACATTGGGCATACCGTTCACGACGTCGTCTCCAGACTCTATGCCTGCCGTCCGCGAATCTGAGGGTAAACCTGGATTCATCGCTAAAGACGACTCGATTCCAGTCTCTCTGGGTCCATCGGAGGTGACGTTGGGCCCACAGCAGACGTTGACGTTGATGACACGGCGTCAATATTGGCCCACGATTTGGACGTCGAGAATTGAGATTGGCAGCCCGCAACCGATTTCGAATGGTCTGTGAGGACAGTCGACCTCTAAACATCTCAGCCCTGGTTCGTGTAGCCGGCAGAAATCTGTCACGTAGGTGACGTAGGACGATTTGATGGTCTTCTGCTCGTGACGTCACACGTGGACGACCCGACCTAGGGCGATCAGAAATGGTGCCAGTTTGTTGTAGACGACCTCGCA